CAGCTTTGTACCAAATATGTCAAGAAGACCCAAGAGATCCATGAAAGGGCTCTCCTTCGTATTTGGGCAGATCCCAAGGCTGCTCCAGACACAGTCCCAGACACTTACTGCTTTCTCCATCGTTCTTGAGAAACCACTTGGGACCAGGCTGCCAAAGCCTCCAGGCCAACCAGCCACACAAGGCTGCGACGCTGCCGCCAGTCACGCTCTGCTCAGCGCTGCCTTCGCCAGCACACACAAATCCCGTCTCGTTCCCAAAGTTATTTTCTTTGTTTGTTGCTTTAAAACATCAGTCATCGCTGCAATAACTGTGAGACACTGGGGGGGTGCGAGTTTTACTTGCTGCAGTGAGTGTATGCAGAGGATCTTCTGTCTCGCTTGGCAAGCATCACACCTTAGAGCCAATAAAACAGGCAACGATTTGCGCAGCAGAAGCAAATAATACAGCATAGAGAGCAACGAATAAGCACCAAAAACCAGCACAACTGCATCTTAAGTAGTCCCTCTGCTAGGAGGCCAGGCTGGGAGAGTTGGGCTTGTTCAGCCTGGAGAAGAGAAGGCTGCGGGCAGAGCTGAGTGCGGCCGCTCAGGGCTTAAAGGGGGCCCAGAGGAAAGGGGGGGACAAGCTTTTTAGTAGGGCCAGCTGGGACAGGACAAGGGGGGATGGCTTTAAACTGAAGCAGGGGAGGGTTAGACTGGATCTAAGGAAGAAATTCTTTCCAATGAGGGTGGTGAAACCCTGGCAGGGGTTGCCCAGAGAGGTGGTGGAGGCCCCATCCCTGGGAACATTCCAGGCCAGGTTGGAGGGGGCTGTGAGCAACCTGATGTGGTTCAAGGTGTCCCTGCTCCCTGCAGGGGGGTTGGGCTGGGTGACCTCTAGGGGTCCCTTCCAACCCAAAACAGTCTATGATTCTATAAGCATTCAGTGGCGACTGGTAAAATAGAAAATGATGGTCAGCGTGTAATAATGCTCGCAGGAAAAATGCAACCCTAACTATACCTGCACAACCACAGGCTTCACACAGCCTGTACCACACAGAGGAGACAGGAAAGTCACTGGGAATATTTCTATTAAACCACCAATCCAGTATGTTGTGGGAAAGAGAAAGACAACGTCGACGACTGCGTACGGAAGTTAAGAATGAAAAGGATCATCACGTTAGTGTTACACAGACCCAGGCTGCCCCCACAGCCTGTGTTCTGCAGGGAATTCCCGTCCTTTTTGTCTGAAAAAAGGTATTGTAGGAAGAGAATAATATGGGAAAGACAATGTGGATGACGAGAGAGAATGGAGTGATTCCCTAGGAAAAAGGAGAATAAAAGATTAGGATTTTTCAGCAAGGGAAACAGATGCTAAAGAGAGAACCACGACAGAATAAATCAGTGTTTGAAAAAAGACATGGGACTCGTCATTCTCTGTTCGTTTCTCCATCAAGCAGGAGCCAGGGCATAAAATCAGAACCAAAAAAGCTTTAAAACCTCTACTGGCAATTCCAAACAGAGTAAGCAGCGGGGGTGTTCTACACCGAGCATGTTAAATTCTGGGATCTGCACCAGGGGACGGTACGGAAGCGGCAGGAACCAAGAGGTTATAACAAGATTGCACCACCTCGGGGAGGACCGCTCCATCACGGGCTGCGAAGACGCTGCAGGTAAGGATGGCTCGCTGAGGGAAAGCAACCATTGCACTTGCTCCTTTTCTTTTTTAGATGTATTTTCCTAAACGTTGCTCCTACAGACAGCACAGGAACCAAAGGTAATGCTGAGCGATGTGCCCATTGCTCAGGTAAAAGGAAGACAACCTATAGTGTCTTTTGAAACCATGTTTTAGCCTACATTTTTCATATATATGTGTCTCTCATGTTTTAAGCACCATTTCATTAGCAATAATTTTTTTCTCAGGGTACTATTAATTAGCACAAAAAGAGGCTGCCATTAAAACAGCTTGCGACCACCCCCTGACCCATGCAGAGCTGGAAAGGGAATAAGTTCCTGTTCTATTCGTGGCAGAAAATAATTATTTCTGCAGCTGATAAAGGCAGTTACATGCTCGTTTCCAATAAAGCCCATGCCTCCCCCATGCTGCTCTGCTATTTCCCTTCTCCAGCAGCTGTCTGGAACGAGCAGCAAGACGTTGATGTCCAGAAGCCTTACCCTGTTTGGAAAGGGTCTACCAGGAGCAGAACTGTGCGCTCTCTCAGCAAAACTGCTGTGGGAAGAGGGGAGCCCAGGTTGTAAGAGGCACCGAGAGCATCTCAGCTCGAAAGGCTGGAGGTTTTCTACCGGAGTCGCAGGACTAAACATCCCATTACAGCCTTCTGCACGCTACCAACTCTGAACGACAAGGCTGAGCTGCCGATTACGCCCTGAAGTAGAACCTTGCTTTGTAAAAACACCAAACTATCACGTGTCCAAGTGGCTTACAAGCTTCAAGTCTCAACCTGGCAACTAAAACCCCATTCCTTCCCGACGTTAAACCAGCAGACAAAGCCAAAGGCTACAGATCAGTCACACTCTGTCCCAGTACTCTTCCTTCACATTAATGCTTGACGCAAGAACAGCAATCCATCACTAAGAGCTAAAATAGAAAGTCTTTTCAAGACGATGAAGGCACTTATTTGGATGCCAGTAGTCCACACTGATCCTCCCAATAAATTCACTCATTGCAGAAGAGCGCCGATCTTATTTAGTAATAAGATATCCAACATCCTGTTTTGCCCAATAGTTTCTATTAGAAAAAAATATTTATCTTCCATTCTATTTTCCACGTTGTCAGTCCTTCACAGCAACTGCTGATAAACACTGTTCATCAAGGAATTCCCCGCAACACCAGAAAAGCGTATTGCTTTACCTCTACAAACACCCGTACCGCTCTATGGGCTCTCTTGGGGTGTGTTTTTGAAAGAGGAGAGCAATCCTTTCAATTCCACGTGCAAGTCACAACCCAAGCCTGTTTGTTCAGGCTGCTGAAGAGAGCAAGGTACCTTCCCCCTTGCCTGCCTCCTGGCTGAAATCCCAACCAGCTGCAGCATTTCTGCAAACATAAGACACCTTGCTTGGCTGAACCACACATCATTTCACCTTTTACCATGGAAAAAAAAAAATAAAAAAAATCTTTGTGTAAAAAAAAAAAAACCACCCCAAAAAAATAAGCACCATATACTGCTGTCACAATGAATATTTATCTTCCATTCTATTTTCCACGTTGTCAGTCCTTCACAGCAACTGCTGATAAACACTGTTCATCAAGGAATTCCCCGCAACACCAGAAAAGCGTATTGCTTTACCTCTACAAACACCCGTACCGCTCTATGGGCTCTCTTGGGGTGTGTTTTTGAAAGAGGAGAGCAATCCTTTCAATTCCACGTGCAAGTCACAACCCAAGCCTGTTTGTTCAGGCTGCTGAAGAGAGCAAGGTACCTTCCCCCTTGCCTGCCTCCTGGCTGAAATCCCAACCAGCTGCAGCATTTCTGCAAACATAAGACACCTTGCTTGGCTGAACCACACATCATTTCACCTTTTACCATGGAAAAAAAAAAAAAAAAACCAAAAAAATAAGCACCATATACTGCTGTCACAATGATTTTCAAAGCCAGAGTGCTTTGCAGAGCGACAAGCAGCATCCTCGAGCAGAACACAGCAGTGCCAGGCCAGAAGCCACTCTCCAGGAGACTACAGAAGGCTGGCTGATAAGAATGATGCTTCTACTCACCCCAGAGTTAAAAGGAATCCAAGAACATTGGCACAGGCTAAGCCCACGCTCACAGGCCTGGCTGACTGAGGCAAATACATCACCTCTTGACGTAAAGCGAGCATCTCTGCGCAACAGAGCATTCCCGAGATGTCAGGAACAGAGTGAAAACCAGCGATTAATCCAAGAATGCTGGAGGAACACAAAGGAAAAACCCCGTTCCGTTCGTATTTAGTATGTAACTTTTCAGACTTTGCCCCCACAGCTGCACAGCTGGCTGGGAGCTCGGCTCTGAAGGATACGCACGTTACTGTCGGGGGCTGAACAGGGGCCAAAGGAAACAGAGGATTCACGAAAGAAAATAAAGGGAGCCTGGCCATAGCGAGCTCTCAAACTCAAGAACTTGCTTTCTGCGAGTTATCTGCATGGAACATGTTCTTTGGCAGCCCATCTACACCCAGCACAGGACAGGGCGCTCCGATAAGCATTTTCCCAGGGTCTGCACAATCAGAAGCACTGCCAATGGGAGCTGAGCTCCTTTCCATGCCAAGACACTCAGAGCATCCCGCCCGGGCACAGATCTGTGCCCCAATGCCAGCTGCTGAGCAAGCAACTGTCCTCTGCCTGCAATGGGAACTGCACGATTCCCTGTTTCTAAACAAACCTGCCTTCCCTTCACCTTTCCAGAATGCACGCGCTTAAGCTACAGGCAGCCCAAAGGATGCCTGCTCTGCTAAACCCAGCCTGGTGAACACCAAAACGGAGCTCGTGGCATTCGTGAACACCAAAACGGAGCTCGTGGCGTTTATTCCTCCCGAGCTCATTCTGTCGACCGCTTGTTTCTCCAAGCCTCACCTGGAAGTTCGTCCTTCACTACCACCACCAAAGTTCATCGACTCGTTAGGTGCAGACTCGCAAAAGCCTTGGTTGCAATCTGTTCTTAGCCCCCAAGCAAGTTCATGGTTGTATTTGGGAGCTCTTGCTCAAGAACTCTTCTGGACATCTCGTCTCGGAGAGAAATTCATAATACAACTGGCATAAGCAAAGCAGATTTTGTTGCTATAATCCCAACCAAACCTACCACCTGTCGAGCCATTCCTTATGTGCATTAACCAAAGCTGTTAAAAATGGCTTTTTACGGAAAACAACATCAATGTAGAATACTCCAAGTAAGAGCAAATAAGTTTTTGGGTTGTTTTTTTTTTTTTTTTTTTTTTTTTTTAAAGCTTTTACATGCAGCTCAGCTCACAACGATCTCCAAGCCCTTTTCCTTATGCTTCTTAAAAGCAAGAAGTAAAGAGTTACTTACCACTGATGGCACTCCGCACTGTGGTCCCATTTCTGCAAGGCAATTTCTAGCTCTTCTTTCCCTGCAAGTAAGTGGTGAGAGGGAAGAAATTCAGCCACTTTCTCTCTCCTTCTGTCTCTGAAGCTGTTAGAGTACAACAACAGAATGGCAAGAAGGTTGTGTATTTGTTAACTTTGTAATACATGGGGGCTTGCAAATGGCCCGTAAAGAATTTCATACTCCTGCAGCGATACGGAGTATCCAAGACCACTCTGAGATGATGGAAATTTGTAGCGCAGCAGCAAATTGTGTTGACCTGTCAACATGGTTGCACCTCATTTGGAAGCACAGAAACCATCTTCCACACCACCTTAAGACAAGTTAATTAGGGCTGTCAGTGGGTTTGTTCTGATGCATTTCACAGCTCCACTCAGCCCCCTCTCCTCCAAGAGCCTGCAGTCTCAAAAAGCTGAAAACTTAGTACCTACTGAAGGCTAAAAGGACTATCAAAATCATAGAATCATAGAATCACTTTGGTTGGAAAAGATCTTTAAGATCATCGAGTCCAACCGTTAACCTAACCCTGCCATCCCACCACTAAACCATGTCCCTAAGCACCTCATCTACACTTCTTTTAAATACCTCCAGGGATGGGGACTTGACCACCTCCCTGGGCAAAAAAACCCTTAACATTTCAGGTTTTAAATGGCTACACTGATTTGCAGGAGGGAACAATTCTATCAGACAGTTATAGTATTAACTAGTTAGTTATGTGGGTAATAGACCGGGCAGAAATTATTTAGAATAGTATCTTCTGTTGCACAACTTAACTGTAACAAGGATGGGGTTTTTGTTTTATTCTGACCCACCTACAATCTTGCAAACAAACCACAGTCAAGAGAGTAAAGAAGGATGAGGAAATGAAGTTAAACTGATTCCTCTAACACTTTACAACATATTTCTTTTTTATATCTGCACGTGTTAGCAACACAAAAAATTAAATGCGTCACAGCAAAAACTTATTTATCTTAATACCACACAGGATATGGACGATAGGTTTGAGAAACAAACTTTTACACCTTTAACCAGCCCTTGGTCCACTTAAACCATCTTTCAGAAAGCAAGAATTCTAAACACGTGCCACCCCGGTCCTGCTAGCTACTCACCTAAAAAACCCACATTGTTTGCAAGCATAGGGTTTGTAAATCTGAAGCGTAATGGCAGCTTTGAACACCCTCCCTTCCTTTGCCCCCCCAACCGCACAATCCCGTACCATCAGATGCGTACGATCTCTTCTCATCTGCGTCCGCCGCGATTTCGCACATATCGCTGTGTGCTCGGGCCAGGCGCCACAGGAAGTCCTTCTGGTCTGCATACTGCAGTAAAAACATAAATGTTACATATCAAGACCCATCCTGCCATTGACAAAGAGCACAGGAAAGAAAAATCGAGTGGGGGCATATACTAAAAGTTGCACAGACATTTCTTGAAACCTTGAAAGGCCCCAACTTCCAAGAACTGAAGCAGAACCACAGAAGAGCAGACTGGATGGCCAAATTTATAATTAAGCTACTGGTACGGGTCTAATTGTTGCCGCCTTCTAACAAGGGACCCACAGAATCCCCAGACTGGCAGGGGTTGGCAGGGCCCTCGGGAGCTCACCCAGAGCAGGGGGCACAGGACAGCATCCAGGTGGGGGTTGAATATCTCCAGACAAGGAGACTCCACAGCCCCCCTGGGCAGCCTGGGCCAGGGCTCCGGCACCCTCAAAGTCAAGAAGTTCTTCCTCACGTTCACCTGAAACCTCTTCTGCTTCAGCTTGTGCCCATGGCCCCTTGTCCTGGCATTGGGCACCACTGAGAAGAGTTACCCCTCCACTTCAAAGGCCATACTGGGGCCAGCTCTTCAGCAGTCTCCGCTAACCTCAAAACACCAGGGAAAAAAAACGCCACCCCAAATCTCACCACTTCAGTAAATTCACAAACTGAATTTTACTTTTGTCATGCCCCAACCCGCATTCAAACAGCTTCACAACCATGCTTGTTCTTAAATCCGGGACGGTATCGTAGGCATACTGCTAAATTTGAAGCAGATGTGTTCTGAAAAACTCAAACTTACTTTAAAATAAAAAAAAAAAAAAAATAGAAACTTAAACCAGAAGCACCCAACAGTCTGGCTTCTTTTGTGTAAATAAAAGGAAGTGGGATAATCACCAGAAAGAAGCACGCAAGAGAATTCTGGAAGCCACCAAGCCTGTCGTTTCTTCTTGGTGGGAAGGAAAAAACCAATCTGCTCGAAATTAGAAGCGGTCAAGTCATCTATTATTTCTTTTCTTCTGTTACTCCTGGAAATCCAGCAGCCACAAAGGTTTTTTCAAAGGCTGGTAACCCAAAACGTTTTCCTTGCTGGCTCTGCAGTGCTTGGGTGAGCGGCTGCCAGTGTGGCCGCAGCAGGCACAGGCACGGCCGCAGCAAGGCGTGCTTCCCCGCTGGGTGTCCGTGGCCAAGGGCACCAGCTAGCTACTGGCCACAGCTCCAGTAAAACCATCACAGCCCCACGCCACGCTCCCGTACCTCAAAGGCAGCGCCGGCGTTCACTGAACCAGGGGATCGATTCACATCGCCTCTGATATAGAGACACACATGCTTTAAGGTGGCAAAACAACCTGCACCACCCAGGTTTTCCATCTCATTAACCCATACACACCTAAGTGTTGCCTAACCCTCCCATTTGCATATGCAGCTTCTTCATTTCCCCAACCACCACACAACGTGCACTGGGCAGCCCTCGGAAAGACCAAGTTTCCCCGAATACAGACAGAGCCCTTGCATAGGCAATGAGGTAAACGTTCTCAAAATGTTTGCTGGGTTTACTGGTTTTACACATGGGGCTGATATTTTAGACACGCAGAGTGTGTTCCCTCAGGGAAAGCGATGACACGACGAAACACAGAGTTCCAAGACAGAAAGCGACTGGGAACTGGTTGCTGCTGTAGCTTGAACAATTTTGGCCTTCAGCCCCGTTCCCAGGCTGCTCCCGAGGAAGGGGGCCACTGGAAGCTGGCCCAGTTGTTGTGGAGGACCTGGACCCTGCTAAGATATGCAATTCCCTCTCCCCCAGCTATTTCGCTGAAAGCACAAATCCCTGCTGGAAAATATAAAAAGGCAACCTTTACCGCCAGCTTGTTATTCAGCAGCAGCTGGAATCCCTCTCGCTTCTCCTGCTCATCCCCGCTGTGCAGGCGGTCAGCCTGCTGCAGTAGCTGACCCAGGCCTTCCTCCACCGAGGAATCCGAGATTAAATGCGTTTCATCCTCGTTGATGAGATCCAGGGAATCCCGTCGCGCAGTCCTCACTGTTTCACAGCTCACTTCGTCTTCTCCTTCTTCGCTCTCTCTCTCGGACTCCCGGTCATAATCGGACTCAGCATTGGCGGTGGTGTACCTTCGAGGAAAAAGGAAAAAAAAAAAAAAAAAACCACAACAAAAAACAACAACAGAAAATCAGTTTGAGGAGATGCTGTGCAGCCTGTGACAGTTTTATACAGACGGTCCAGAAAAAACAATTCTTCCCAGTAGAGGAAGAGGAGTATCCCAGCTTATCCTGGAGAACAGCGTGCAATCCAAGCGTCTCGAGTAACACACCAGTCATTATGTCTTGCCAGATACACCCAACCTCAAAAAGCTGGAGGAAGAAGCCCCCCACCCCCAAGTTAAGTAGAACTCGGCCCCTAGTGTCCACATCTCACCCGCACACCATAACAGCTTCTCTTAGGCCTTCTAACTTCAACGTGAGAGAATCAACCAACCAAGAACAGAGCCAGGACAATTCAGTTAAATGTAGGGATTATAAAAGAGAATTTCAACACAAAATCCGACGCGCTCACCCGTGTGGAAAATATAACCTGAGTTTTTTAGCTTCTTCCAGGAAATTTCAGACGCAGCAGCTGTTTTGGAAGTATCTAGTACCTCCAACATCTTGTCTGAGCGCTAAATATGGAACAGCTTGTTCACGCTGACGTGGTAAAAGGTACAAAACAGTAGGAGAGCGATCAAAACTGTTTCACATGAGTGAGAAGTCCAGCGAGGAGACAGCAGATGAGCCACAAAAAACCACCATGTGCACAAAAACGCAGGCAATGACTGCCTGCTAAATGAGTCAAACGAACCAGGACAGAGCTCAGACCAAAGTTTCTGCAAATGGCCAAAATTAAACTGCCCCAAGCCATATACAGGCACCTCAGCTGGGAATTTAAGACAGCATTATACCATAGAACCAACCACAGAACCAACCACAGAACCAACCACAGAACCAACCACAGACTGGTTTGGGTTGGAAGGGACCCCTAGAGGTCACCCAACCCCCCTGCAGGGAGAAGGGACACCGCTAACCACATCAGGTTGCTCACAGCCCCGTCCAACCTGGCCTGGAGTGTTCCCAGGGATGGGGCCTCCACCACCTCTCCAGAACCAACCACAGAACCAACCACAGAACCAACCACAGAACCAACCACAGACTGGTTTGGGTTGGAAGGGACCCCTAGAGGTCACCCAACCCCCCTGCAGGGAGAAGGGACACCGCTAACCACATCAGGTTGCTCACAGCCCCGTCCAACCTGGCCTGGAGTGTTCCCAGGGATGGGGCCTCCACCACCTCTCTGGGCAACCCCTGCCAGGGTTTCATCACCCTATATATTGACTGATACCATAGCAGTGGGGTGTCTACTTACAGAACTAATTTCTTTTTAAAGATGACTCTCTGTTTGTCCCCCTCATGTTTCTCTGCGAGCCCTTAACTGAAGGATGAGCGCAGGTCAGCCAGTCATTTGCAAACGTGCTCTTTTGTATTTAGATGGTGTGGGTTTATCTGAGTAGAAAGCTCACTTTCTGAAGCACGCTACTTCAAACCCCACGAACGCTCCAGCCTAGGGGACTCTTGTACTTGTTTCCCAATTAAACTGCGCCCAAGCTGTGTGTTGAACTTCAAAAGTTCTGCTGGAATCAAAGGTGACTCCAGAAGGCTGGGGGCGTTCGGTAGCTACAGCTGTGCTCTTGGCTGGATTTCCCCTCCGAGGGAGAGCCCAGCGCTCCCTGGGCGAAGCTGCCTTTGTCTGGAGACAAAGATACATGACCAAAGCCCGTATCTGAAGCAAGCAGTTGCAGCAATTTGGCCACACGTAGATAACAAGACACATTTGGCTATCGAGGCATCAGGTTTCTGAGAACCATCCATAAGGCTCAAGCGTTTCCCTCTCTGGTAGAGGGCACCGCACGCCCTCACTTACCACAGCCTCCAGCTCTCATCTGCAGACTTTTAAAACACACCACTTTGTACCGAAAACATTTTAAGACAAGAAATAACGTTAACAGTCAGCCTTATCGCTGCAAAGCCAGGACAGCGAGCGCTACCAGCGGAGAGGCTGGAGACCAAGCAGGCAGCCCTACGTTAACGGGTAACGCAGCCCCACGGTGGTAGGGGGGCACCGGCAGAGCTGGAGTTAAATGCTTCATTTTGTGATATTTTCTGAAGATAAATGATATTTATTAGTTCTCTAGACCACCGCATTTTTTGGTAAATAAACACAAGCTCCTCAAATTCTCTGATTTCCCACCCCAAGCCACCACGCAGCACAGTTGCGGGCGACGCAGCTGCACCTCACTACAACACTGCAAAGGTCTCCATGCTTCAGCTGAAACCACTTTCCACGCCCAAGGCTCCCAAAACACAGCACGGTCGTTAAAAACAAGCAGCGGGGGATGGCTCCTGGGCACTTTTTTTCTCCACCACAAAAAGGTGTTTTCTCCAGGACAGCTGAAACGCAATGCTGCCGGTTTAAAAAGGCAAGTCATGGCGTATGTAACTTCATAAACTCACGCGTTTTCAGCAAGATTAAGGGATTTGGATGTTATCAGCCTGTTCTCTCAGGGCTTACAATGCTGGGAAATTCAGAAGTGCTTTAGTACGCTGAGGTCTCTGGCCAGCACACATCCTGAACGCACATGAAAACCTTCTCTCTGGAACGAAAAAAGCACATGGGCAGAGGAGGCAAAGCAGCCCAGGCGGCCAACGCCACGCCAAAGCAATAGAGGGAAAGGAAGCAGCCCAAGGCCTCTGGGCTCCTGAAAGCTCGTGGTTATTTTTATGAATTGTACATGAAATCGGAGGAGATGCTTCTGTCCCCGTGGTTTACAAAATGGAGCTGAACTGCGAGTTCCTCTTCTGAATTTCATTAAAAAGGACACAACTGCCAGAAACAAATACACAGCTGAAATTATCCACTGAGAACAGTCCCATTCCTCCTCCCAGCGGCTGCCGAAAAGCTTGAGTAGTCTTTTCCAAAATTCACATTTCCTACCCTGATTTTCTGCTAGAAAATTCTGGTATTTACATCTCTAAATGCAACACTGCGTACTAACGGCAGCCCATCCTGAACAATATTACACCTATTTATGTAGGATAAATACCAGAGCGAGAAATTACACACTATTCCGTTTCTTTTTACATTGGGTGAGAGCTGCTTACGCACTAGTTCTCCACATTTAACATTTAATTAGGTCATTAAACCTAATTACGGATTTTAACTCAAACATAAGAACCGTCATGAGGTTCCCAAGAAAGTAGTGAGGTTTTGCAGTAAAACATATCCCTGCTCCGCAGCTCGCCGGAGGTCCCTAAGGAGGGCACCTTCCCTGGACATTAGAATTGTTGGCGGCCTCTATCACGGCTTAAACTTTTCTAACCATCAGATGAGACCTGCTGCTATCTGCCGAAAAGGACCGTCCTTTTCAGCACGCTGTACAAACTGTGTCGGCAGCCTGGTGATTCAATGCATTGGTTACTGTCTAGATAGCAAGGCCTTACCTTCTGAACCTAGTTTTAAAATTCGTTATGCAGCCTTGTTACCTATCAGGCCATCGTGAATCGCTTACTCCCCAAATTTGCTTTCGTATGAACACCCACTTCAGATGAATGAAGTGATTCTACAACCTAGAATTATAGAATCACAGAATCATTTGGGTTGGAGAAGCCCTTTAAGCTCCCCCAGCCCAACCGTTCCCCTACCCCTGCCATCCCACCCCCAAACCCTGGCCCTCAGCACCGCCTCTGCCC